GGGGCCAGAACAAGGGATCGCTGTTATGTAGCGAGCCCTTCTTCCCCAGTAATGGCTAGCCCTACAGCTCCCGTCATATCTGCCCCTCCCGGTCGTAACCGAAATGCTCCGACCCTCCCCCATCCCCGTAGACACTACCCCCTCTCCCATGGTCCCCATTCTTCCTGGCAGGCCGCACGTACCATTCATTCTAGGATGGGAGGCAGATCTGGGCCCCCATACCCTTCTGCTTCTGCACTCAGTGGAGGGGGCTCTAGGCCGCACTCTCAGTCCTATCATATGTACCACACAAACACTCTCCTCATACACACCCCATAATCATAATCATTAAAAAAAAGAATACAATAATATAATAAATTAGTCAATTTAAAAGTGGGTACATTCTCTCTTCATCCATACATTCATGCACTCAACAGACAGGTTAAAAACGCAGTTCTTAATTCCGCAAAGGCGGTTGGTGCAAGTTTGAGTGGCTGGGACCAATAACGATTTGGGAGGGAGAGTTCCTCATTCTCTCTTTTCCCTCCTGCGAGGCCCGGAAAAGTGCAAAAAAGTCCAAAAGTCTGAGGTGGCTGAGGTGGCTGGGGGGGGGGGGTAGGCTCCAGTTGGAAGGGGCGCTGGATACCCGTCCGCGTCTTCTTCGTCTTCCGTCGTCTCCTTCTGTGAGGGCCGTATGACATGGGGCAAAACGCAAAAGCTACCAGCATAACAAAGGATCTCCATAGTCGTTGCAGCAGCCGGAGCGGCGAACAGCAAAAGTCCCTCGTGGTGGTGTTGTCCGAGAGATCAAACAGAAGAGAAGAAGCAAGTGAGGCCACGTCCGGAGCCAGGAATGGCGGCAGCGGGAGAAGACGTTCGCTCGATCGCCGGGCGCACCAACTCCCCGAAATGGCAATGCCGAAGACGAGATGGTCGGAGAGACAGTGCCGTCCAAGGAGGCACACCCGGGATAGCAGCAGATGGCAGCAACAACAGCAAAAGAGGCTGGGTGCAGGGTCTAAGAAGCTGAGGCCGCAGCAGTCAAAGCGTCTGGTAGTAAAAAGCCCCGCAGCGGTGGTGGCAGAGCGATAGAGAGGCCGCGACGGGAGAAGAAGAGGGGGGGGTGCCCGGAACAGCAGCAGCGGCGGCAAAAGAAGCCAGCCACCCAGTCCTGAAACACATCACCGCAAACTCACCGCCCCGCCCCCCCGAGGCAACGGAGCACAGTGCACCGGCGTATCAGCACAGCCCGGCATATCGGCACAGCCCGGCATGGGCCCAACGGCTCCCCGCGGCAATGGGGCCGAGATCATAGTTATCTGAGCAGGAGTCACCAAGGGCAGCAGCACCGTCTGAGAGCCGCCCGAAAGCAGCGCTCTTCCAGATAGCTGCCTCTCTGGACCCCCTTGATGTTGGTCTCGCACAGCATATATCTTGCCTGACCTGAGAGAAACTGGAGAGGCCGAAGGGGGAGTTGAACAAGATGACCCAGCGCCGACCCCGATCACTGCGGCTAGAAACATTCCAAGAGTCCATCCCCCCCCCCCCGCAGACGCCGGATGGCTAAGGTTCCTCCTTTAAGTATAAAATACGGGGGAGAACCAAAAGAGCTAGGTCTTTTTCTTGTTCAAGTGTGGAACTACATGCAGATGTATGGCGATGAACTGGGTCCTGATGAAGCCAAGGTAAGAGTTATATTGATGGCTTTGGAGAAATAAGCAGCAGATTGGATAGTGGGGTTGCACAATGCCGACTCCCCACTTTTGGGAGACCTTAATGGGTTTATGGCCGCTTTGGGGAAACACTTTGATGATCCCCTCACAGAGCAAAGAGCCAGAATTAAATTTACAACTCTTACCCAGGGGAAACGGCCAGTAGTTGATTATGTACAAGAATTTTGGGAGCTGTCAGCTTATATGAGGGTGAAGAAGCATTGTTAGACCATTTCGCTGATGGGTTAAACAAAGAGATTTACCAGCATTGTGTGAATAGGAGACCTCCCCGTAGATTGCAACCCTGGTATGAAGCAGCCGCTGATGTGGAAATTGATCTGGCCAGGCTGAATTACAAAGGGGAAGGTGAGGGCGAAGAATCCCCTCCCCCGCCAAACCCCTCCCAAGAGTCCCGAAAGGAGGGAAAGGTGGATTTGCAAGTAAACACAAACCCTTCATGTGTTTCCGCTGTGGGAAGGAGGGGCATTGTGCCGTGAATTGCCGGGTCAAGATGAACCAAAA